CGCCAGCCAATCAGAGGGGGACAGCGTTGATTGGCCTGGAGCACTGGCGAGTCCCAGCAGCGTATCGACAATGAGCGTGAGGCAGACAGGAAGGCAGCGTGACAAAGGCGGAGGGCAAGGAGACGCGAACTGCCACATATCTACCACCTCTAAATATACTGAACCTATATTTTGTAGCAGCGTAAAGGCACCATCTACCCTCTAACTCAGAAAACCAAGAAAGACCCATTGGCAAGAATATAAGCGCTTGCATCACATATATGCAATTCCTCCAAGAACACGGCCGTCATGCCGGTCATTTCGAATGAAGTATTTGCTTGGGGAGGGCGCGAAGAGACGCGGACGCAGGCAGACATTTCACGATAGTCTCAATCGACGTAGCAGCTGGTCTACTCGTGGACTTTTCTATTTTATTGTTGGCAAATGTGTGGTCCTAAGACTCTGCGTAAGAAGCACCAGAGAAGCGGATGAGTCTTTCTGATGCATCCTTGACGTGGAGTCCCTTTCAAATGTTTAGGAACATAATGACCTCTTCTTCCTTATAACCTCCTTAATAAGCCATAGTCTCAGTTTTTAAAGGAAGTTACGCACGCGACACAAGTGTTATTAGTGCTGAGACGAATATTCGTGTGGATTAAAATGGAGCTATTCAGGACAACCTGCAGGGCATTCGATCGGTCTCACTTAAAGTATTCCGTCCAGGCTAGGCGTTCAGTGATTCAAGAAAGATTATCAACAACTGACCAAGGCTTCGATTTTGGCCAAGCATCTTGATCCTTGGCCCTACAAACTTAAACTGTCCGGATTTAATTTGTTTCTTCTTAGTTGCGGGCAACTGCTGGGCAACCTCGTTCAAATCTACCGCATTATCAGAGGCCGTGAGTGTGCTCTAGACTTTAACGACTTCGTCGAATTGTCTCGGATGGGCCGTCGGCATGCTCGACCCTTTAAACTGTGGAGGAATTTGTTTCATACAGAAGTCTGACATAACGCCCTCTCGTAGAGGGTTGTCGAAGCATGGAGCGGATTCCCTGGCGCGGTGGTCCTTTCCGAAAATGTTAGTATGGTAGTATATATTTAGGTAGCGGGCCATGAACTTGATGACCCTATTGAAACGGTACATACAATATAACTGTCAAATGCATATCTTACTAAAGTTTTCCCATTAGCATATTTGTCTGCGGGAAAAGTTTTTACAGTGCGGGATTGCGAAGGATGCGGCAGGCGGCCTTACCAATCTACATAAGTAATCATAAGTGCAATTATATATAATCAGCACAAAGTGTAGTCATTTACGTAGTTTGCGAGGGAAAATTTCATGAAACGTCAAGAATCTGTTGCATAGGGATGAAATCAGGAAATACAATTTATGGCTGTCTGCAGATAGTGAGAGTCGTCATTTATCAATGATCAGACGATCCAGCTGCATTTCGAATGCAGCCATTGTATCAGGTGTCACTAATTCACTTGGGAATGAAATCCATGGTCGAACAACACGCTGGCTGAAGGGAAACTCCCGATGGTCTAGGCATCTACATTCCAACTTGACTTTGTAGGGAAGACCGTGCAGGTGACTCATGGTCGTAAAGTCAAAGAAGTCTTCAGATTTGGGCGAAAATGCATGCCCGTGGATAATGCGGAATGTTCATTACAGTTCACACCTATGTCTTCTATAGGATAGGGGAACAAGTTCAGCTGGATCAGTCTTTCTGCGTATGACAGAGTCCTAAGACCGTCCACCAGTTTTGTGGTCCGTCGCTGCACCTGCTGTATGGCATCACTGGCTTTCTTCATTCAGGGCGTCCATGCTGGCATTCCGTATTCCAAATGCGGTCGGGCGAACGTGCCATATATCTGTTAGAAGAGTTCGACAGTAAAGATCGTGAAGGCACACCTAATCCAGTGCATGATGCTGGTTTCCTTTTGGATGACTCCTTTGCAATTCTCGGAGGGCAGCAAGTTCGAATTTGTCCGGAAACCCAGGTCTTTGTGCGTGTCCACTTCTTTTAGTGAGATGCCATTTATGGTGTACTTCTGTTTTGGGAAGCGCCTCCGACGGGATTCTAGGCGCAAGACTGCAGATTTGAATACATTAAACGCCAGAAGCCACTTGCTGGACCATGCAGTCAACTTATTAACGTCTTCATGTAGTCTCTGCGAGTCGTTAACACAGCTGATTGTTTCCCAGAAATCTACGTCATCTGCAAACATGATGCTATCGCATTCAAGGTCTGCTGTTCGATCATTTAAATACAGACTAAACACTCACCTTTTGAGAATCTACTCCACACATGATCATGGTTGTGTCAGTGAAGGCAGTTTGCGCCTGATTCACACGTACCGAAAACATTCGATTTCCAGAATTATAGATGTACCAACTGATTCTACAACATTTTTGGGTATGGATAGGGAGTACGAGGACGAAAGCATTATTCGTTCAATAAATTGACGTAAAATAACTTCGTTACGGGAGATGTTTCTCATGTCTCGGTTAAAAAACGATGTACGGACAGCTGACGGACATCAGAATCCGAAGCAAGCACATCAAGTCTGAGAGAACCATGACTCTTAGAAGATTTTGTTTCTGCAGGGAGGAAACTAAGTCTTCCAACGGTCAACTATCCGCGGAAAATATGGATTGGATGGTTCCGTCCGGTTCTGTAAAATAAATCTGCTATCAGGAACGTCAGAGTTGGGTTAAACATGTGGGTTTTGACAAATGGAATGATCACAGAGGAAGCTAAGCGCCGCTGCAAGCTAGCTATATTTACACTGTTGAGTCATATACCGGCTACTCCAACATGTTCCAGCCGAGGTGAAACTGACGACCAAGAGAGTTTACATGCGTAGGAAGTGCATTCGTAATGGGAATAAACTGAGCACTTGGGCGTGGGCTGAATGGGTTGCTAGGTGGCAGCTACGTCTTAATTTTCAGAAATTACTCTAAAACTAGACAGGAATTCTAGCATATTGGGGTTCGATGTTTTGACACATGCTCTCAGATTTCTGGATATTTGATATATTTGGTGCCGCGGTGGGAGATCGTTGAAAAGAGGGTTTCTGGGGAAAACTGGACGTCATTTTTTTATAGCGCCAGTTGCCTCATTAAGCCCTGCCTACGAACTAATAATCTCCCTGATTTTACTTGGCGCTATTAGTGTGACGCTGGAACTAAGACTTCCAAATACCCACCTGCATTGAAAGTTCTCTTAGAATGACCTGAACTATGACAGAGTGAAATCGTAGGCGAAGTGGGATATGACTTGTTCAATAAATTGTAAAGACCCATCAGTTCCTCATGATTTGTCGAAATGCTTAAGTTTCTCAGCGCTCTCTCCATCGGTTTGAGTTTAGGATGGGCCGAACAGTGCCACTTATGACAAAATTCTTATGTTCTATCCTTCCCTAACAAAACCAGGTCAACTCCTACGAATGAGAAGATGGTACCCGAAGTAGGGGGGTTGTGACTGTGTGGTCGTAATTGTGCAGCAGGTTTGTCCAGGCATCCCAGGACTTATCATTGCAGAAACAAGCAGGAGCTATCCAGAGCAGATAAGCGGATCGGAATATTGCGAAATATAAGATTGTTTATACGTTCTATGTGTTTCTGGATTTTGTAGCTTATTACTGAAGTGGCCTACAAGTTTGCTCCCTAGCAAATTCGGACAGAAGTGTCAGGCCACCATTTAGTATATGATGAATGACTTCGACAGAAGAGGTTTCGTTAATGTTTGTAGTGCCATTGCTTTAAACATTCAAAGGGTCTAGGGAGACCGTGAACATCATCAGGCACTGGCTATATCTCCGACCAGAGACGATGCAGGCTATATATTTCGGTCCTTTAGTTTATTTGTTTAGGTTATCTGAGTAACTAGACAAAATTCTCCCTTATTTTGAACATATTTTAAATATTATTATTTTTGTATATTAAGCCAGAAAAAAATGGAGTGGCACGGCTTGGGAATTTGGAATTCGAACAAAAAATCATTAACTTACGTCAGTTTATTTTGAAAAATCGTTGCGGATGTCAGATGTAAAATATAATGAACATCAACAAGGACCAGTTAAGACAAGCACAAATAATGTTACCACAAAGTAATAATTAAAAATTTCCAACGAATGTTTACCATAAATTTATAAGTAATGCTCCTACAATCTCTAAAAATCGACCTGCCGCAGGGACCTTAGTAAAATACCCATCAGCCAGTATGTGCAAGACAGACAACTGTGCGTTGTCCGACCTTGTATTCGTTATGGATGATCATGCCTAACGAAAGATAGTTGTCCGCATCATAAATAGAGAAAATTAGTTAGAAGGCTGTTTTCGTTGCTACAACACTTTTTCATAACACAAAGGTGCAAGTAGCGTGCCCAAGAAATGTTTAACATAAAAATTAGGGAAGTGCATTCTTTAGACCGTATGATGTAATGAGTCCGCTCTTCAGTTTGCAAAGAAAACAAGCGCATCGCACAAACCGCGGGAGGTGACTGTTAAATGTTTATGCATTTTGGAATCTAAAGCAATTCGCCATTGCTGACGAAATCTGACCTAAGAATAGCAAGATAGTCCGATTCTCGCGGGTAGCCAAACTGGCGGGCGTGGAGGGTATACGAGGGCCTTGAAAAGCCTGAAAATTGTTTTCTCAAGTCAACAAGTTCGTTTACCAGGTTTTTATATTTCAGTTTCGTTATCATAGTTTGGTCTTATTGTTCTTTTAGAAATTGGTTACTGAATTGCTTCATCGACAGGAGTGCCCTTCTCTTCTGCAGACTCCTGCCATTCCTATCACTCTGGTGTCTGCGGCTTGCCTTCAAGTAACTGAATTATAATCACATTTGTGTAAATTTTTTTAAAAAATAAATCTGTTCAGATAAGCAGGCAATTACAATTTTATCTTTAATGTTCAGAAGACAACATTGCAGTCGAAGAAAGCGTTTTAATTCTTCAATTGCATCATTCCCACCAGTTCTTTCGTTAGTCTATCTTTTGTAATTGCGCAATGGGCCTGCTGACTGCTGGCGCGCCGCTAAGTTGGGCTGAGACTAAAAGTCATGCGGACTTCGTTCGTCGAGAGGGAGCAAAGCAGTTCGTTCGTCTGTGGCGTAAACACTTAAATTCGACGGGCGCCGCCCTTTTTTGGGGCGACGAAATCGAGTACACACTGGTGCGCATTGATCCAGAAACGAAAGAGGCGTCTCTCCTGCTTATGGCAGCCGAACTTCTGCCATATCTCCAATGGGAGGAGACACATTCTCCACCGTGCGTTCCCAATAATTAATTTGTTATTTTGCATCTAATCCGTCTGAATAGCAGAAGTATTTGCAAACCCTTAGGAGTTAACATATTTTTTCTTCAGTCTCCTGACTCGCTCGTCAAATATCAAAAGGCTTGATATTTATGAATTTGCAGATTGTTTTCCTTATAAAACAGAATGTTTTCTACCGTTTCCTTTTCTTGTGATCTATGGGATACGAGAGAATGTAGACGTTGTAAAATACTTGATGCTAATAATAGTTATGGTGCTAATTTTTGAATAAAATGCACATTTTGGATACCGACAGGATCAGAAGGTATGTTAACTTCTTATAAGGTTAGTATAGATTTTGCTTAAAAATTACTCGTTTTTTACTTGTTTTTGCTCCATTTTTTCGTTATCTTAGTGGTACTGCCATTGAGATGCTTTGGAGGCCTGAATACGCTGCTTATATGATCGAGGGCACACCTGGAAAACCATTTGGCCATCTTCCTGAGTACTTAAATACAGTTGAATATAATATGCAGCGACGTCGCGATCTGGTTCAGAAACGCCTGCCTGACAATTGTTATATAATGTGTCTGACGTCGTTTCCTAGGTGAGTTATTAAGCCATTGATTTTATTTTATGGCGCTGGTTTCGTTAGAAGAACTCTTTACTGCAAATATTTCTATTCAAACATGTATTAAATAAGCAATTAAAACAATTTTCTTAGACCAAGTAATTAATCTACCCTTCTTAGTATCTGGGTATCATTATGATCTTTGGGAATTCGAAAGATTAGTGTCTAATCCCCATTGCAAACAGACTTCCCAGATTTCAAGTTTTTGCGCACGTCATCTTATCGTACCGAACATCTGTTTTCTAGTGCATAGCTTCAAATATTTTTTCAACAGCCACGTTTTCTTAATTCTTTATACTCGCTGAAATTCACAGTTTTATTAGACGTTGGTTAATTGACCCATATAGTGAAAAGATTGCATAAACTTGATTGCACTACTCCTGCGGTTGTCAATACTGTTATCAGTATTATCTTCTGGCACTTCAATAGTCCCTCCCAGGCTGATCTGAATCAAAGTCCCACATCTTGAGAATGTAGCATTGACCTGTTTTTATAAACGGCCCTGATGAGCCGACATGTATTTGATTATACGATTCTTAAAAGAAAAATCAAAGTCAAATACAAATTAAAAGTTTCTATGGTTTTCCCAAGCTCAGATATTAAAAAGTAATAAATCCACTTAAGATTTGAGTCTCCCTAAGTATTTACAGATTTTGACATACTTTATTGTCCTCGTGACACTACTTGAAACAAAAACAGAGGACAACGAAATATTTCGGCTAGAATTTAAGAAATTAATGTCTTGCACTTTGGGACGAGCTTAAGTCCCAAGTTGTATTATGTAGAGGCCATAGCCAATAAATGGAATGATCTGCCCTGACTGCTGGTAACGCGTTTTTGGGATAGTTTCCTTTGGTCTTATGTGCCAACGCACTACCTTAAGAGCGTGCAATAGTTCATTCGTAACTTCGGCATATGCTCGAAGAAAAAAAGGTACGATGTTGTCTACGTAATCTACCCTACATTCTACCTTCGGTGCATCAGTGGCGTTGGTATGTGACCGACTCTGTTGTACCGTAAAACTTAAATTCTCTGCATCACCCGTTCCTAAGAGAATTTGTGGGGAATATAATGAATTTTATCGCCAGAAGCTGAACTGCTCAAAAAAATTCACGTCAAGAACAGGATTTAGAAATTACGACGATTGACCTTCTTTAAGTAACGGCAGACAAAATATCTCATTTATTAGGCGGGAACATTTAAGATGTTGTTTTGCAAGCCTTCACAAAGGCAGAATTCATTGTGTGCCTCAATGGTAGCTTCTGAGCCCTACTTCCGTAGAGCCAGAAAATTCAAAGTTACAGTTACTTGTGACGACGGCATCCTCTCTTTACTAGATAAATCTGCAACTTGAGGCTGTGTACGAGGATATATCTAAGTCAGCTCTAACTACCATTTGCGATAGGACGCTTCATGCATCGTAGATGGGAGATTTCGTTAGTCGATCCACATACTCAAATAGTATTTTTTGATAGAATCGGGGGTCTGGGGCTAACCTAAGTTATTAATGCATTGATCCTAGTCCAGATGAAGAGCTCCGCTATTGACTAGCAAGTCGAGTGAAGCGGCGTTTGAAGAACGTGCACAGAAGGTCTTTAGAAAATACTGTTACTTTAAGCCTGATCATAGGCTTGCGTTATTCCATAAATAGACAGGTGGGTAACTGTGCTGGGGACCTTGTTGACGCCATGATGGACGGCTCAGCCATTTTCGCTATTAAGGTAGCATGCGGAGAATCACCAATTATTGATTAAGTAGTAGAGGAATTATTTAAAAGAACTGGGTTTTTGGTGTTTATAGGTCTATATTATTTAAGAAGTGAATAAAAACATCTGCATGAGGTGTCTTTGTTTTTTTTCACTGCACTAGTCAAATCGAAAAACTTCCCATGACCAACCACCTTTGACTTCTCTTTAGTAGAGGGTATTTAAGGTTCGTTCCCAGTAATCGGGCAGTTTTTGCCCAACGTTCATTCACAGTTTCTAGGCTTTCACTTAAAGGAATTACCATAGTGATAAAGTGGGCGTATGTGTCTGATCCTTTTGTATGAAAAGTATAAGTGGTTCTCTGGATCTGGAGGCGGCGCGTCTTAGCCTTTTCTTTATGTGTAACTGCGCTTCAGTGGTGCAATCATGAGCCGATTTTTTATAACTGCTTGCTCGTATAGCCGGAGTGCTTTTTCATTGAACTCTGGACGGACTCACTAGTCGATTTGGTACGGAGTCCATCCTTGTACCAGTGCACAAACTTGTGGTGATTTGTACCTGGAAGTTACCCATTGACCTCCGGGCCAGTTGGGTTGAAATATTACGGTTAACGACGAATATGTCACTCTCGATTGGGACCTACCCAGCTTCTAGCGAGGTTTTTGGGTCTTAAGTGGTCCAGAATGGTAAAAGGAAACAAAAACCAGGTTTACGATGTATTGTGGAGCATTAAAACAAACATATGGTCAGGTTGGTGTCTTCAAACTCATTTCCAAATAATGTTGGCACTTTTGCAGGGACTAATAGTGCGATTCAATGCAAGCATAACACAATAAACACTTAAAGACTTTGAATTAAATCCTTGTCTTCGAAGCTCATCGTCCATCCTGCGAACCACTGTCTTAGATGTAAGTTCCTTCAAACCGACACCGAACACTTTGGGGCGATTTCTAAAAAAACCGTCGGAAAGATTACTATAAACAAACTAACTCAGTAACTTGGGCTTTGCTGCCCATTTCAAAAATAAACATGAAAACTTCACTTGAGATTTTGCGTAGGCAATGTTTCTTCCACAATATGATTTAATTTATTGGCAGGATATTTGATTCCATGCTCATTAGTTGCACATCGTCGAGCTTGTTAGATGACCCTGATCTGCTTCACGCGTTCCATTGCATACTGCAGCATGCAACATGTGCTGAACGTGCGTGTTTTGCTGTGTAGGTTAGCTACTCAATACTGGTTAGTTCAGGACATGTCGTAGTATTCTCCTTCTTCATACTTCAAAGACTAGGACTGTTCTTGTACAGACTTCAATTTTCTTCTTATTTTCCAGACTGGGATGCCCAAACTTCACATATCCTCCTGCTCAGTCGACACCAGATTCAGGCGCGTCTAGAAGCCTCTTCTACCCCGAAAACGCTATCTTCGGTGCGCACCCGCGCTTCAAGTAATCAGCTGTTTTTTGTTATTGACTTTCTTTTAAAACTGACCTTTTTATTTTACTCCTATGTTTGTATTCTCGGGTGAATAAAATTTTCGGATTTTTTTGTGTGACATGGACATTTATTTTTATCGTTTTGCTAACGTCCTTTCCCAGGACACTGACGAGAAACATACGTGAAAGGCGAGGCTCAAAAGTTGCCATAAACCTCCCAAGTAAGACATTCCAGTTGCTAACTTTCATTGGTGTGCTATGTTTGATTCTGCTCTCAGCCACTTTTTACTCGGTATTTTCTTTAGTCTTCCGTGATGTGAACACTCCGGACCCATTTATTGAAGATTTTACCATTTATCATAATGGTCAGGACCCTTCGGCAACCTCAGCTGCCCTTCCAAATCATGTATATTTGGACGCAATGGGTTTTGGTATGGGCTGTTGCTGTCTGCAAGTAACATTCCAGGTATCTCCCGCTTTCTTTTAATCTACTAAAAGGTTGGTTTTTGACGGATTCTTTGACGTTTCTCCAGCACTTACGTGGAAGTTTGTTGGCCCGTTTAAACTGATTATACTCGACTTCAAGTCGATGAGATGTCTGAATGTGTTGGCACTTGGGACTTTTCTATTTAAAGATGGTTAGAAGGACTTTCACTCTCTTATTACTCCTTTTAAGTAAACGTTTGGCAGTGGTTTTCCTCAGACCGGACACCCACTTGTGTGTCTGTAAGCACGTGGCTGACAACTTATGTAAGCCTCCGGACTTCCTTAGGTTTCGGTTGACAGACTCTGATATTACATGACGTTTCAGGGCTGTTGCGTTTCTGAAGCAAGAATGCTCTATGACCAGCTGACAACAATCTGCCCAATTGTGATGGCGCTGAGCGCGGCGACTCCAGCCATCCGTGGCTATCTTCTAGACGTCGACTGTCGCTGGGGCATTATTTCTGGTGCTGTTGATGACAGAACTGAGGAGGAACGTGGTATTAAGGTAACTTGAACGACCTGTTCGGTTGTGTTCAGCGACTGCTGTAGCTTTTACGACCTTTAGACGTCCAGCTTTTACTGTTTTTGAACACATGTCAAGTATTGTCGGAACGCGAGTTACTACTATCAGCCTGCCACCCCTTCTCTGAACGTATTTTTCCCACAAAGTATCGTATAAATGATCATATATTAATGAACAGAAGATAATGTATTAGCTTTATTTGAGCTTTCGAACTGAATATCATTCCTTTTGGAAGAATCAATGTTTTAAGCGGTTAACTCTTATTGCCAGCAATGAAAAATTTACATCGAGCCAAGACACCTTCCCCTTAAGTTAACAGATGATTTATGACAAAAAGACAAACTGTTTCAAACGAATTTTGCTTGTTACGATCCTCGCTTAAGGCAGGAACCGAAATTCTATCATCTTCGAAAATTCTTCGCGTTTACCTTCACTTAGTATTTACCTTGCTTAATGAATACCGATTGTGGCTGCCCGTACAGTTAGAAGTTTTTTACGGACTTCCCGACGTAAAAGACCTATCTCAAACCAAAAGTACCAAAATGAGCATTTAAAAAGTCTTCAATAACAGTGATTATTGCAATAAAACTTTTCATTCGTGAATGCTCGGCAGAATCCTAAATTTCTGTCACTGCTTCTTCATTTCAAATTGGCAATTTTTCTCCAAAACCATCTCCGTATTCTTTTTGGTAACTCCTGGTTCTTTCTACACACTCCACCTTTCCCCACAAAGTATTGACATGAAATTTTAAAAAATACGCCTGACATTTCGCGGCACCTAAATTTTAGCAAGTTCCGTATCACTAACTACGGTGGATTATTGCAGCTGCTTCATAATCTCCCGTGCTGCTCCCTACTCTCAAAAGTTTCCTCGTTGCTTGTAGCAGTGTCTAGTATGTCACAAGATGCAAGACTGCCGTAGTTTCGGACAAATATACGCAGACGACCTTGAAGACATCGACTACCGTTAAATGCTGTGAGACGCTATGCTGGATTGATCTCCAGGATGGAAGCCTGCCTGCTTTTCAAACTTTAGGATATTGAACCCATCGTCTTCATTATCTCCTTTCCTTCTCAATACATCTTAGGAACGCACAGCTTCCCTCCATTTAACGATATATATTTATATGAGAAGGACTGTCGACAAAGGCTGGGGAAACCGAGATGGACATTCCTGGCTTATTAGCCGTTCCCAGTCAGCTTTGCACAATTCTAGATTTGCAAGACCTGAGATTCGGACCTGCGCTTTTCGGTCATTGAATGTTTTTATGATGAACGCTTTACCACTGAACCGCGTCCCCAAGGCGCAACGTGCCGGGCATGTCCTTAACCCAATCGGTGAACGTAATACCAATAGTCGATGTTCCTGATGACAACCGACAGGACAACGGGCCCGCGGTTGAATGGCAGAGCGTCCAACTCAATGACCAAAGACCTTGCATTCGAATCCTAGGCCTTCAAACCCGGATTTTTGCAAGTCTCGCTGTTTATAGTTAATTAGCTAGAAACTGCCATTCCCGTTGTTTAAGAGTGGAAAGCATCTTTTATGCCACTTTCTAGGATTGAATCCCCAGGTTTCCAGATCCCCGGGTAACGTGTACAAATCGTAGATCTCAAAACTCCATCAAATGAAAGATACTATGAGTAACTGCGTTGGACGCCAGCAAACATCTGTTGACCTTATCACCAAATCATGTTAGCTCAAACTTTATCAACCATTAAATCTTTTAAAGGCCTACTTTTAAATGTTAACGGTTTTTCGAGACATGCGATGGTCTGGGGAACCAGCCTCGAAAGTTGACGCAGCGTCCGATTTTCGCCCTCGTTAAGTTTGTTATGTTTCCAATCGCACTTCTTAATAAGCCTGTTTTTCAACCGACGTTTATTTATATGCGTCCCTGCTAAATGTCTAATTTCGTCTCTTATCCTCTTGAAGCTTTTATTTTGTGCCTTTTGTTTGTAGCCCCTCAAGAAAGATCGCTTTCGGATACCTAAGTCGCGATACGACTCAGTTTCTAGCTATATATCTCCAGAGGGTGGAGCCTATAATGATACCAACTTGGTACTTGACCCTGAGATCTACAAGTATTTAAGAGACGAAGGCAAGTTTTCCTCTGTTTTTCTATTAATTTCTTTTTTGTGGCACATGGTCGCCATGACGCAGAGGCATATGGTACAAAGTCCAGCTTCCGGACCTTTCAGGGGTGCTCGCTATTTTCGGAACATTTGGTGAATGAAGAATCTAAGCGAAGATTGATGTCGCCTTGTTTTGTTTCTGTTCTTCTATCACCATCCAATTGAAGCCTAATAAGTAGTCACAGTGTCTTAAACTGCAACTCGCCAAAACGCCGGTGGTAAGAGACCACGAGAAAGCAAACAACGACAGATGCTTGAGAGTTTGAATCTCTAGGATTATTAACGCTATGCCTCATGGGGTTTCTCGCCAACGATGGGGAGGAACGTCTCCTCCTCCATCATTTGATGAGGCAAACTTGCCCCGTCGTAAATTATGTGCGTCTCACCTTATCCAGGCACCCTGTACACTCGCTCACTGACTGTGCGGACTTGATATTTCCTGCGTAACGAACGTTTGGTACTCCTCAAAAAGTGTCGGTTGCTAGTACCCGATGTGGGCTGCTTGGATTTCTCGAAAGGTTCACAAATTTTTGTGAAGTGAAATACGACCAGTAGGCGCCCGCTAAGATCATGATATATCTAAACACAACTTGCGTGCAATCTGTATGGCTGTTTAGAAGATTTGGACTTCAGAAAATTTACTGGGCTGTTTTTTTGTCTTAGTTGCTGGGAAAATATGTGGGTATTTGGTGTGGTGATATTAAGTTTTTGGTCGTCAAATTGAGTGTTCTACTTGAAACTAGATGATGGTTCGAGCGAAAAAGAGTGAGAGACCGCAAGTTTGAGTAGTAACACACTAAATGGCCCCTTTCTCGTGGGTGGTCGACCCATACTTCTGCTTTCTTACAATTGAGAGGTTGTACTCTTGAAGCACTAGTCGACCCCAATAGTCACGCCATTAAGGTTTATGCGAGCGCGTTTTTTCAAGTGTTCTTTACTATCGTCAAGTGTTGTCAATGAGCACAGTTCAGTCGCCTTTCTGTGCAGTTCGTCTTTGAAACGATAGTACGCACTTTCCTGAGTCCAGATGAAGGTTTTAGGTACTCTGCTAAACATTTTTGGCTCTATAAAGAAATAGCTCTGTTGAAACAAAACTCTTGGACTAAACGGTCACCGTATTCGTTTTAACAGGTATTGACGAGCTCATGTCAAGGCACATCGCCCATCTCTTCATTCGTGATCCAATTAGTCTGTTTGCCGAGAAAGTGCAACCATCGTCTGAAGATGATACTGACCATTTTGAGGTCTGTTGCATTTTTTCGGGTCTTGTATAACTTTTTATACTAGGCACACCGAAGACTCCAGCTTTTTTACATCCCACTGCAGAAGTTGAATTATGCAGAAGGTATAAATAGATCTGTGACATAAAAAGTAGGGAATCTAACAATCTTTTGAATTTCTCTTTTATGCCGATAAATCGAGTATGTGAGTCTATGAATGAAGAATCTTAAGGAACTTTTCCACGAAATTCCATATTGATGCACAAAGTTCAGTCTAACCGAGGGCCTCTCTGATTTCTCAACTTATACATGGCTTCTTCTCTCATGATGGAGGTGAACGTCAAGCGATTTCTTTTTATCTGAAAGCTCGGTGAGCAACAGTTCGGTTAAGATTCCTACTCGTTTTCTGGCTGCCTACGGGCCATTTCTTTACTGTTACTGTCGGTGTGCGTCCTGAATGAGGTCGACATTCTCGGCTTACGGGTATACTATGTAACCCGATGACTGAATCAGTTCCGTTGCAAGTTTTTGCAAATTATACTTTTGCGCCTGGGTGCAGTAATTTTGGTACAGACCTTGTTTTAAGACTCTAAAATCGGACCCACAGATAATGAAACGAAGGACTTGCCCTTACCGGCCTTCCTGTACTGCGGCAGGGGTACTTATCAGCCCGATTCAAACGTTACTTTCAGTTCCGGTCAGTGAATTTCTTCAAGCCTTCTAGTACTTCATAGTCTTTCAGGCAAAATTTTATTCTCCATAAGGTCTGTGAGTAGGTTGTGGACGGCTGTTTTTATACAGACAATCAGGGTCGAATCCTGCGTACTTCAAGGTTCAGTGAACGCCATCTCTGATAACGCTGATGATAATTCATTAGACTGGACTTTATCCGCCAAATATCTACAAGCATCCTCCCTCAGCGGTTATTGACCGACGTTCTTAGTCTTTTCCCCATACTTACGGCTTTGTTTCCAGGCAAACGTCGTTAAACCTGTTATAGTGTATCCTCAGACCATGGACCTGAGCGTCAGATCCGCGAATGTTGTTGCTTTCGCGTGTGTTTCATGCAGTGGGCACCGATTGCAGTGATCAGGTGGAAACCCCCGTGAATACTGAATAGTCAGTTTAAATAATTTTGAATTGTCTTGTCAACCGAATTTTGTACGTTCCTTCAATTTGTTATTCAAAGCAATAAACTGTTTTTCGATCAGTCACGAAGCGTTACACTCCTCAAACTAGTTTCATTAAACTGCCGGCTTTCTAGAACAGTTTGAAGTTATGGCTTCGAATAATGGGACTTGGAAAATTTTTCCCAGTTATCTTCGGTTGGAAAGTGTTATGCCTTTGGTGGGAATTATCATGACCACCCTGTTAACGAAACATTGCTTCTGTTCATCTCTAAAGAGTAGAGATTTTCGATACGAAAACGCTGTTGCTTTGTGTAGGCTCACGGGTTTATCCTGGTTTCCACTCTAATGATATCAAAAACTCTGAATGCCACCGAAGTCCCTGAATCTTTAATCGCAACCTTGCCTTTCAGGTATAGCCGATTCACTGGTTAGTGTTTCGTAAGTTATCAAGGAGAGACACTCCTTTGTAAGTAGAATCAACTGTTCTCCTTGTCAGCCTGCCAATTTCCGTTGCATTTTTGCCTCTGAATGGATATAGAATATTCAGTCTACCAACTGGCAGTCCATGCGGTTCAAGCCACCACCTGCGAACTCGGACATCGGCTGGCGCGTTGAGTTTCGTCCAATGGAGTTGCAGCTGACTAACTTCGAGAATGCCGCTTTCGCAACTTTTGTAGTCCTGCTCACGCGTACAATCCTCTCCCTCAAACTTAACTTCCTCATTCCAATCTCGAAGGTCGAGGCAAACATGGTCAATGCAGTCAAACGAGACGCTGTTAACCAGGGCCGCTTTTATTTTCGCAAAGGGAATCTGATTACCACTGGTAAGGACAGTTTTCCCGTGCGGCCTCTTCAGATTTCGCCTTAGCTGTTCCCAGCATCTAAGCATTCTACTACTCAATGACGTCCTGCTTTTGTCGCAACGATCCTCCACAAACTTCTAAGCTTCCTTTGCACTTCTTGCCTCGTTATCCCGTTTTACAGGGGGATTTTTGCGTCTTCGTTCTCTGCACTTGCTGTATGTGTGTCGCTGTTTTTTTTTACTGGCATAAACACTAAAGCTGTCCTCGTAGCTGTACACTCAGCCTCATGAAAACAGCCGGTGGTTCAATCCTCGGTCTGTTGGTTGTTTTGCCCCAAAATCAAGTTGACCCCTCTCCCAGTAGTGCCCGACATAAAATGCGTTGAAGGATCATATGAGGGAGATAAAGTGGTAGACGCACTTCCTCACTTGTGACTTGTCGTGACCGATCTCGAATGAAACGTCGCTCTGGAAACTTTGCCGTGTAGGGTCATTTGCGAAATCCGTTAGTATCGCTTTGACTCTGTTTAGCTGTTTCTGCGGATCATTTTTCGTTAAGGTATTTTCTCTCTTACCTCACTCTGTCCCTTTTCCTGGCCACGGAGTCATTTCTGATACATAATACTCTAGGTTTATTCATTTTAAGTGCTTTGATGACACCGAATGTCGTTCGTATGTAATTGTTTTTATTAGTGGCAAGCCCTCAGACCGCCACAGCCGTATGTCGTAATTCGCAACGAACTCGCACTCCAAATCTTCAGAAGGAGAAATCTAAAGTCCCCAACCGGCATGCCAGCCCTGACAACGAACATCGGCACAGTCTTGATTCTTCGGGTGGTATGAAATGTTGCCAACTGAACGAAATCCGTCCAGAAGACTGCTATACCATGCTTTCTATCAACGAAATCATTAATGGCAGCGTGAGTTCCCCTCGTGGCTGTAACCTTTTTTACAAACCCAGTTTTTGCCGATGTTTGATGGGTACGTTTTCGAGATCTTGGACCGTTTTCGCCGCACTCGTCGACTTTCAGGTTACTGTGCCAAGACAGGGTAATTAATAATTTGGCAGGAGGCTGGCCTTTGTGCCGACTCCCCAGCATTACAAACGACGGGTAAGTTGTACTCATTGTGTCAACAGCGAAGTGTGCGTTTCACCCCATGAGCCAACATACTTTCCTTCCTTCCCTCCTTTGAAGTAATGTTCAGATGATTTTTGACAGTGATGAGTCATGGCAGATTTTTTGTGCTCTGTTGTTGCGTGCCACTCACCTTCACTAATGACTGTTGTCACCGCCTCTGAAGTTAACATAGCTTTGTTATTTTTGAAGTAGCGAAATTGTCGCATCTTTGCATAGCCTACGTCCTCGCATATTTTTAGTCGGTCCCGACTCGTAGTTGGTGTATTAAGTCATGAACTGCGAAACGAATGTCATAGCCATTTTTAATATCAGTTCACGTTACCATTGTCTTATCACATTGTTCGTGATACCCTTAATTTCCGCACCTAGCCGCTCCATGTTTCGCCTTTATTTGTTCCATCCGATTATTTAGAAGGTAGAAGAATGGATCGAGCTCATGTCACCGAGGCCATTAAACTAGCTCTAGTGACAATGGTTTCTTGAACTAAAATTAGTACTTCGTTCACTTTGTCCACACCCAAACAATGCAATACTTCTCCGGAAGGAAAATTTTCACTACCACTAGAGTTAATTTAGACCATCTTATGTTTAAAATCTTTTGCTTAAATCTCACTGGCCTCAGCATTGAGAAGCATTAACTATCAATTACCGCGGAATTACTGTACGTGCGCTAGCCCATTAAATGTACCTAAATTTTGCGAAGCATATCTTATCACTCGGAAACAGGATCACATATATCTATGAAAACTTCCAATTAGTAATGACCGACCTTAGGTGGAAAGAAAACATAAAAGAAATATTAAAAGTCACATTGCGTTGCTTAGAAGTAACCATTTTTTGGATGTCGGAGATGCCGAAAACCCTCAAAATCGTGCTAAATAGGTGAACTTAGATTATAGAAGTGTATAAAGTCTGTCCATGTGAATAACTGAATTTGTAAAACAGCACAAGGATAACAACGTTTGAGAATAGTCCTTTAGTTCAGTTTTTGCCTAACTATTTCCAAAGAATCAGTGTAATATTAAGTATGACAGTTATCCAACAGCCTGCAGTTTGAATGTAGATTCCAAAACGGGTTGATGAGAATTTGTCCTACTTTTTCCGTTTTTGCACTGTTTAAACCCCGAATAGCTAATGCAAAGAGGATTTCGCTTGATTTTGACGATAAGGACGTCACAGGAATAAAAGCTTTCATACGGCTACATGTTGACAGGCCGGCCAGTGACTAAGAAATTTGAGTAAAATTAACAGATGACATCATAAGCATACCATTTTGAATGCATATAGGGGCCTTTCTTCCATAAAGTTACTCTGCGGTTTTTGGTGACGGTTGAGTCCACTGAGTTTCAGAATGCCCTTGACATGTCAATTAATGCTTTTCGGTCTTCACTGTCCTCAATCGACTGAGCATGAAGATGGAGCCTGCGCTATCTGTGCCCGAATGTAAGACAGATTTCCGCTCGAATTTAGAAACATATTCGGTCAGGTGTGGTTATGTCGCCCCACCGGAGGTAAGCAAACCCCAACTACCTGTAATACGGGACCGGTGGTAATAGGGGCTTTTGCAGGGGCGGCCGAAGAAAGCACAAGCGACGAGGTCAAGCAATTGTATGCAAAAGAAAAGCTATTGGGGATGCGCGGTTGTATTTTGAAGGGTTGAGAAATAGTTGCCCTAATCCCTACCCTAGCCTCAACCCTAACCTTGACCCTTTACTGCAGCCCTAACCCAACAGTATTGTGTCCATCTGGTGGGCCACATAACCACATCTTACCACATATTCTACAGATAACTCATCCCGTGTTTTCTTCTTTTAGGAGTCTTTCCCCGGCTTGATTCCTCTCATTCGCCGCTATATGGTTATGACTGAGGTGGATCCAAACACAGCCTTCTCAATTCATCAGTATTTGACACTCATAGGGAAGCGCGCTTCAGGTGAGTTACCTTTTATGCAGAAGCGTTGTTTGCAGGTTGAGAGCCTTTCCCTCAGAATAGTCAGTTAAGTTGGCGACTTTATTCGCAAGTTTTCTCAAAGTAATAAATACCAACGAACCTTCCGATTGTTTATCGACTTTCTAGGTCGCATCGCTGCATTGAACTCTAACTTTAGGTTCGGCACGCGCTCTGCCCTCCATCAACCAATTGGCATGTCACCATCTTCACTTAACTTTTCTATTAGGATTATTACCTCAGCAGCCTTGAGGAAGATTTTGGAGTCCACCAGTCTAGTGGTTTGACATGCTATACTCCTTAGTGGCCATAAAAACAGCTCAACAAGGAAACCTCGTAAATTCTTGTCGAAATCGGTTTGCCATCAAAACTCATAAATTACCACGTAGATTTAAGGCCTAAAGTGTAGTAAAACGACCACACGGTATCGCAATGTTAGTAGCGAACTCTATATGGCAGATAACTTGTTAGCTCATCCGACGTCCTTTCTCCTAATTAGTGAGAAGTGCATTTGTGAAAATATTCGACATGCAGTTAGTGAAGGAGACTCACCAAGTAGTAGTGTAGTTCTTTCGAACACAGAGAATACCTGGGACTACTGCGCAAAAATGTAGGAAGTTATGGAAAGCATCTAGACTTCCATGGGCTGTCGTCGTAATGACGAACGAAATTTTGATCTGCACACGATTTTACTGTGCATTTGGTAACAATAGTCTTCAGGTAGGTTTTGATACTAGATTTATAGAATTTAGAATTCTGCAGCCATTCTTATGCTCTCGCTCTCTGAATACTTTCGGCACCCTGTTGGCCTTAGGATTTCGACCTTACCCCGAAGGCATTGAGGATGATACCAGAGTTCGACCGTCGTGACCGATGATGACCACCGAGTGCTCCACAGCAGAGTGGGAGCAGGAACGGTGGCTTTCACCTGAATTCGTTTATAGTGACAGTAGACTTGCACGGCATCTACCGCGCCCTCTCCTCCTCCCCCGCCTAAGTCCAGCATCATAACAGAGCCAACAAGACCGGCAGTGGTAGGGGGCAGGGCAATGGTACGGCGAAAACCTGCACCAAGGCGTGCCACCACACCCCCTGGTCCACCACTTGCACTGGCCAGAATTTTACATCAAGTAAAAAGGGAGGGGGGTCATAGAGGTCATATTAAGAAGGAGCTGTTTCAGCTTGACTCCCAGTCTACCGGTCGGCCATTACACACAAGCACAAACCTGGTTGACTGCGAGGTCTGAGTTATCCCGTCAGTTGGCAGCCTTCCAAGCCACCGCTTTTAGCACACCGTGCTGGATTTCCGCCCGTCAGTTTATAGTTGGGAATGTGCGCTCAGAACGTCGACCTCACTTACTTAACCCCCCAGGCACCGGTACACTGTCCGTGCAGGTACGATGTCTGATGCGGTAAGTTGACGCCGTGGCTGACGGGGCTGAAGAGCCCGTCTGCGCGCGCCACACGCGCGACCTGGCCCCCCAAACACACACGCCGGGATTGCACACAACAATGGGTAGGCGGCTTGGACCTCACATGTGCGAGGGAATGCCATTACGAAGGGGCCATCGCAGTCTGACCCTCAGCTCACCAGCCGGCCACTCCACACACAAACACACAACTTGGCTGTCTGAGTTATGTAAGTTCAAGCGTAGGTTGGCAACCCTCGAAGCCGCGGCTTTTTTAGCGCACCGTGATAGTCTCGAACGCACCAGATTGTTTATAGTGGGAAATTTTGCGCTGAGACCGTGGACCTTTCTCGCTCTGCCCTTTCCTGTGCCCCGGCCGACTGTCCGAGACGGTCAGCCAACTGATGCTGAGATCTGGCTGACAGAGCTGAGATGCAGCTCGTCTGCATGTGCCACACGCGAATCGGCCCTCATGCGCACACAGCAGGATCTGACGCAAAAGGGGGCAGAGCGCTCGCATCTCGCATGCTGCAGAGGAACCGCATGGACAAAGGAGCCGAAGAGCACACTTCCTACTTACGTGAGAGGTGGCGCTGGTGCGGGCTTGGGAGGTGTTCGTGTGTGGTGCATGTGCTGAGGGGGATGTGTGGTGATGTGGTCATATCTGCCGCAGGCTTTTATGAAGACGCATACGATCGAATAGACCCATGCGATGATCGAATGTGCGAGGGCAATGCGGACACTTGGGACCATGTCATCTAATGTATGTTGATGCTGCAGTCACTGCGATGGATTCGCAAGTGACCGACCACGGCTATGTAAAGAACCTTGAATTCGTTGCAGTGAATGCGTTGAAGGGACTCGTCAGGCTCGTCACCAAACTCACACATATGGACGTCGTAGGAAATGGGGCCAGGAGTACATGGAGGCTGTACTACAGTCAAGAACCAGGTTAAATTACAATGAATAATAAACAATACAGGAGAATTATGCTACATATGCGTATGATTCGTCTGTGGCAGAGACTGGTTCCGCCATACATGCAGGACAATTGATGGGGAGGGCAGCATTGTGTGCAGCTGCAGGGTACTAACGACGAGCGAGAGTAGAGGAAATGTCAGTAGCAGTATTAGAAGGGATGCCGGTACTCCACGCTGATACCTAGTTACGCCGGTCCCCACCAGGATCTCCACGCAAAGCGTCCAACTCTGTTCGGCTCGGTAGTGCATTACGCCCTTCACAAACTAAGCTTGCCTGAATGAGATAATTAATGCAAGTTCCTCCGTCTTACTGTTGCCCTCTGCCTATCAGCAGGTGCTGTTTGGGTTGGTGGCATTTTGTAGACGTTTCTCCATCTCATTAATCATTTATTAGGCTGACTTGAACCCCACGGTTTCTCTCCCTATCAAACGTCAATCTGTTGTTTGTTTTTCCGTTCCGTACTTCCTTAATAGGGGAACTTCCGACTGCCGCGTCCTGGATGCGCCAATATATAACGAATCATCCCGACTACAAGCACGACTCCGTTGTGTCCTCCAAGGTCGCCAGTGACCTTGTAAGCCAGTGTCTCGCAGTGACAAGTGGGCAGCCAAACGCCGCGGGAAACTCTCTTTTGAGGGGCACATACTCCTCACGTACTGCTGCTCATCCACCAGCAGCCACATTGGCTGCTCACGCCTCCCTTAATGAGAGACGTGTCCAATCGGCGGTTTCGCTTACAGCGTTAGCGGCCTCTGGGGAAGTCATTCATGAGTGTAGCAGTGAGGCGCTGTTGAGCGAAAAGGCTCAGAACAACAGATTTCACCTTATAGAAAATGACGGCATTTCTTGAAATTCTCTCCTACGCTCGTCGCCCATCTACCTTCGTTTTTTGATTAAAAGCCCCGGTTTCTTGTTTGTGTGGCATTTTTCGTGACTCAAATTATGGAGTATAGAATCTGATTCCGCCATCCGAATGCCTTTCCTGTGGAGTACTTCAACTGTTATCTATAAACTCGTTTTCGTTTTTTCCCAATTTGTTGAATAAACTGTAAATCACTCTACTTTGCTCTGTAGATGGAGGTCCTATGTGCCTAAATTCACTATATCATGCAATAACTGACGAATTTCTGAGATGAAACCCACAGGACCAATTCTGTCCAGTCAGTTAGCGAGACCGCCTTCCAAATCATGCAACTTCTGCTGTCGTGACCGTAGTCGAACAATGTTCAGCAGAAAACCTAAGAAGTTTTCAGGGGGTTTTCTGCCTGAATCGCCAAGAAAGAGATCAATGTACCCTTTAAACTATTGAAGGATAGGAAACGTCCATGAGTAAGGCTGCTGCATATCATCTACCGGGGCACTACTGAAAGTGCATCAATGTAAGTTTGATTTGGATGCGGTGTGGACTTGTGGCAAACAAACCTCTTCCATCGTCATTGTCTGAGTTCACGCTCGTTTATATTCGTGCCTCGGATTCGGAATAGGCCACAGACTAAGTAGGTAATTGAACGGAAGATGGTATCATTATTACCAGCAATAAAGGGGTTACACTGGGTCACGATAGCATCATATGGTATGCCAACTAGGGATCGATCTGTAGATCTCATAAATCGACTTAATGTTAGTGGGAGTTCTATTTTTGTATCGGCTAAGGTCACGACAAAACGCCTAAGCGCAGGCCCAGGACCAGCTTCCGAACTGTTTTGGACATTCTTTGTCTCCAGAAATGCCACGCCTACTTAATTCCAAATTTCCCGGCTTTACGTCCTGCCTCTTGCGGAATTGTAAAGTTCGCGGAAGGGACGCCGGTAGTGTTTCCAATCAGGAATCCGGATATAATTCTGCAATTCACAACAGGTCACTTAGTGCTCCGTGTTAATCGACTCGTTAAAAAACCGCAGGTGAGATGTCTGCTTTGATTAAGAATAGGTGATTTTCGACGCTTATGGTCAGTAGTGTACTTTCCTCAGTCAGCGTTTCTTCCAGAGTTGGCACGTCAAGTACAAGTGTTTTTGCCTTTCCTGAATATGCACTTCTTCTAACGTGTGGTGCTGGCAGAAAGACTAATTTGTGCAACTTTTTCCAAATCCTATTTGGCGCAACATTGATCCTTATCACTACTTCATGGGTTCACAAAAAGCGGGAACACTGTTGTTCCTCTCCGGCCGCCTGGTTAACCGTCTGGGTGGGTTGGGGGATAGGCCTACTGCGTCATTCAGCAGTGTCCCGTTAGATGGCAAAAAGTCAACGTCGTGATAATTTGTTTCCTTCACAGCTACATAAACTGTACCAGTCTGAAGAAATAAGGAGCGAATTGGGACATGAGTGGGGCCCTGGAGGAAAATGAAGCGTCACTTAGGCGAGCAATATGCGTTTTTGTCTTAACTTGCATAATTTCAATAGCTCGGTTTGGAATTCACGGTCTGAATATTCTCCATGCGTGACTAGGCACGTAGGAAGATTGCTCTTCCTTGTCCCCTCACGGACAACAACCACAAGCATAGGGGAGTGCTCATTAAGGATGATAGGTGAAAAGTTGGACGTTCAGCCAAGAGAGATGTTACAGACAAAGACAAGGAGACTCAAAGGACCAGCACCCGATCCTCGGACGCAGAGAATCCAGAGTTCAAACTCGGCCCTCAGACTGAGCCCAAAGACGGCATTAAGGGTACCTGCGGCATCCTGAAGTCAGAATAACTCGGTGAACACCACTGCCTTGTATAATGTCGCATTTTGCAATGTAAGAGACTCGCGACGGTGGTGTGGGATCACAGTTGGACAACCCTTTTTGCGCTATAGACAAAGCAAGACGCCGTCGGAGAGGAAATAAACTGAGGTAAAAAAAGTGGTCGGTACTCACAGTTATTCGGGACACTTACATGCTTTATATTGTTGTGTGTTAGTCGTGACTTGCGCTGTCCTGGCACGCCGGGTTAAGTGACGTTGGCTTGGTTCATCAAACGTGGAGTGGAAGCAACCTCCTCGGTGAATTCTTTTTCTATGTGATTGATGCTGGAAGTTTTCTGTTGTTTCTTCAGGTTGCTACTGTTACTGCAACGGCCAGTAACGGTCATCGTGAGGAGTCAACTAACGATTGTCTATTTAAATGCATTAAAAATGTGTAAACACATTTGCAGAGGATTTTCAACCCCGGCATATAAAGTTCGTGTCCGCCCTGATTTAGGCTTATTCACGGATAAGCATAAACGATGAGAGATGTCGGAAACGTCATTTCGCGCAGCAAGATGGCAGGCTGTAAGCAATTCACCAGAAATACCATGTGTCATACAATTCCTGCGGCATAACAGTAAAGACCAGGCTCGACAGAATGTCGATCGTGAAGAACCAACATGACAGCACCCGTCAATTTTTTATTCAGTCCGAGCCAGAAGCGCTGTTTTGAACAGCCACAGAAAGCCTGCTGTTTAGGCTATGCGTTTGGCGGTGTTTTGGATCCAAAAAAATCCAGATGTACTTTATGGGCCTCGATTTTTTTTAGCGGAAATTGACTGGCCTAGTTTACATAGGTAGACATGAAGTACAGTTACGGTCAAAATAACTAGTGACGATATGACATCTAGATTTTTGATAAATCAGCTCGCTTGTGTCTTGAGGAGGACATATGCATGAGTGAACCGATAGGTGCGTAGTGAGCATGGCTCAGTCGTGGTTCCGTCGGGACTTTGGAGCATTGAAAGTAATATATTTACGTGTTTTAGACGTGGTTCCGCATGCGAAGCTGGGATAATTGATCAGCGATAAAATTCACTGTGTTACAGTCTCCTGAATGGAAAAATCTTTATATCTGTTCTAAAAGCTCTCGACAAATAGCATTTACGTCCAGTACCTGCTAAGCTTCAGGTGAAATACCACAAAAAGTATCACCCTTATGACTTGATGATGGATCTCTATTGGATAGTGATCTTCCTTCCTATCGAATAATCCCCAGTGTTTATGCTCGTGATTTGAATGTATTTTGACGCCACATCGAGTTGTTGGCTATTTACGACTCCAAGGAAAAGAAATCGCTGTCAAGGACGGTCTTTCAATCGGTGTGAGAGGCGAATTGACATCCAGTAAGAGAACCGCTGCAAAGATGTCAAGATTAGAGACCGACCCATGGTAGGAAATCAACACTAGCCCATGCAAATTTGCCCAGCTAGAATAAAAACGCAAAGGGTTGGGAACAAAACGTGTTTAATGGTAAAATTGTCTTCCCCAATCTCCATCAAAAGTACCGTTACTTGGCTTGCGAAACTCAATTAACTCCCCCCCCCTATACTCCTGCAACTGCGCAACCTTTGCGATGGGTTCTACTGTCTAGAAGACTAGGTCTTGCGACCCGCCAGCACTCCTAATGTCGAAACCGCTTGAAGGACAACGCGAACATTCATCTCAGAGACGTCAGTAGCTGACCAACAGCACGACATTTGTCGGCTAAGCCAGCGGGACACATTCACATCTATGGAAAATTTAACGAGTCCGACTTTCCTACTATGCTACTTATGGCTTGTCACTTTCCGCGCTATTTGTCACTCATCTGGTCGTATTTATCCCTGACAGAGTGTATAATAAAGATGAATATGAAAATACCGCTCGCCTTTAAATCCTCCTTCCTTCGTCATCTCCGCCTCATACAAATGTGTCTCAGGAAGGGAATAATTCCAATTCCCTAATCATGGCGGGCGACACGCTTTAGGCTGAGCTTCACGCCACGTCAGCCACTCCATGCAACCTCGTCCCCAGACGGCCGGAAGGCTAGAATAAGTCAGTGATGCATGATGAGGGGGGGAGAGGTGTGAGGGCGATGGCGAGACCCCCCTCCACGTGACGGCTCAGCGCACTCCTCATTGCGATGGTTCTGGCATGCTCGAACCCAACTCGACACGGTCGAAACAAATGCCAACTTCGACCCTATGAATAATGAAAGATGCATATATATACAACCAAGCAGGTGGCAGGATGTACGACAATGGTTGCGGATATTTTTAATAATTCGTCCTACCCCGCATAGGTTGGTTCAGCTTTATATATCCCTCTTCTGTCATGGACGACTAAGATGCATCCGGCCGTGGACAGTCTGCATTCTCCTCGTGTATGCATGTATGCATGCTTAAACCTGAGAAGTTCTTTGCATTTGCAGCTTGTGGTGTAATCGAACATCTATAATTATTAAAGAGGAAGGTAGAGTGAGAGAGAGAGAGAGAGAGAGAGTGTGTGTGTGTGTGTGTGCGTGTGTCTTAAAGCTCCATCCAGAGCTCTGACAGACAGCCTCTGGGTGACCAGCAATGATGCAAAATAATTGTCAGACTGGCCAACCAATTTGGGCTTATTAGATGTCGTCATTCACCCCTTATTTTGGAAACCAGACAACTTTTTCATCGAGTGTTATGTTCAACGCTGTTCCGATAATGCCCCCAATCGCAAACTATGGAAGAGAGGGGGGGGCATGATTCAGTGGCGGGTTGCTGGGTGCAACGCTACACTTTCTAGGAACCCGATTATGAATCTCGTATTATCCAAAGCCGGGGTTGGGAAATATTCGACTGACTATGGCTCATATGTTGGAGGTGGCCGTCACAGTCTCCCTTTGTCTTTGCCGTATAAATTATGGAGGATAGGACATATTTGTTGAAAACCTCACAGTAGACCGCGGTCCAAACGGAATATGGTTGGCCACTCCGCTGTAAATGGAATGAAAAGTAAAACCCCTTTGTCCGTCAGTCAGCAGCATTCCGGTCTGGTCCTAGAACCAGCCAAAACTATCCACCAATGGGTTTTGGTGGCCAGAACATAAATTACAACAGGGGTGGCCAGACACATAATTGCTGCGCCGCTGCCGACCGGACGGGCCATTCACTACCAAACAGACTACTTCATCGAGTACTTCGCACTAGATCTCCTGATGGAAAATGGTGTTCTCCGCGTTGTAAGCGCGATTTGTCCTGAGGATGATACCATTCATCGGTTCAGGGGCAAGAACACGATTCTTACTACTGGGGGTTATGGCCGTGCCTACTTCTGCACATACGTTTACCCGCGATGGCACTACTATAGTCACCATGACGAAGCTCAACAATGAGGACATGGAGTTTCATAAATGTTTTGGCAGATTTTGAATAATTCATATTGACCCAACTGTGAAAAACTCGGTGCCTCGGTGGGATTCCAGCCCACGCAGCCCAGGGAAAGGCTTTAGTACAGCCAACGCTCTAACCACTGTAGCTACGAAGCCCCGCTGGACGACGCGAGTTTAATCTCATGTGGAGCAAGTTACCTATGAATTACGTAGGCCTGGTAGTCATCTGGTGGATTCTAGGTGAATTACTTAGGAAATCCTGCTTGGACAGTCGGCTTAGTGTATCAGATTTGGTGGAACCAGACGTTGCAGTAGGTTGGGCGGGTAACTTGACCCAAATGTGATTAAACTCGCCTCGTCCGGCGGGGCCTCATAGCTCAGGTGGTTAGAGCGTTGGCTATACTAAAGCCTTCCTCTCACTGCATGGGTTTGAACCCCACCGAGGCGCCGAGTTTTTCGCAGTTGGGTCAGTATGAATGGACATGGAGTTTGTTAAATTCCATCCAACAGGAATTCATGACGCGGGCTGTCTCATCACCGTGGGCTGCCGTGGCGAGGGTAGCCTCCTCATTAGCAACAAGGATGGGGGTTTCATAGAAGAGTATGCGCCAAACGCCAAGGATCCAGCTTCAATAAATGTTGCCTCACGTGCCACGACTATGGAGATCCGAGCGGGACGCGGCGTCGGTCTGCGAAAGTATCATTGCCACTTACAACTCAGCCACTTATCTGCCGAGGTCCTCCACTTGCGTCTTCCAGGAGTATCGGAGACCACAGTGACCTTCGTCGGTGTTGATGTGACGAAGGAACCTGTGCCCGTCTTGCCCACCGTCCAATATAACATGGGCGGCGTGCCGACCAATTACAAAGGTCAGGTCATAACTTACGATCCCGTCACCAGAAGGGACAAACTTGTGCCTGGACAGTAAGCCGCTGGTGGGGTCGCGTGCGCTTCCGTGCATGGAGCCAACCGTCTGGGTACAAATTCACTCCTCGACATTGTTATGTTTGGGCGTGCCTGCGCTGTTGACATTACCGAAAAGCATAAGCCCAATGATGCTGGTCCCGAACTTCATCCCGATACGGGCACGGAGTCTATTATCATCGTTTACAAACTCCGCTCCGGCAAAGGTGTATTCCCTGTAGCCAACGTCCGCCTCGAAATACAACTTACGATGCAAGAGCATGCCGCCGTCTTTCGAGACGGTCCCAGCTTGAAAAGTGGATGTGCAAAGACGCTTAAGTTGTACCATGGGAAGATGCACAAACTCAAGATTTTCGACAAGAGCATGATTTGGAACTCCGATCTGATCGAAGAAATTGAGTTGCAGAACCCGATGCTCAATGCCGTCCAGACAATCGTCGCGGCGGAGGCTCGCAAAGAATCCCCTGGTGCCCACGTCCGTTAAGACTTCAGACAGTGTGTTGATGAATGTGACTGCTCCAAAGCCCTCGAAGGCCAGGCCAGGAAACCTTTCTCCGAGCGCTGAGGGAAGCACACTCAAACGACACAGAACGTCAAGACCGGTGTCGTGAAACTTGAATACCGTCCCGTCATCGATGAGACTCTGAACGAGAAGATCTGCCCTTCAGTTCCACCGAAGATTCGTATTTACTAACTGCTTAGAGCGTGACTCAGCTCCGGCGCATGCCAACATTTCGTCCTGCTAGGAACACGAAGAATTCAACTGCCAAAGAGTTTCAGCAAGACCCTGTTGTTCTTATCCCTTCCTGGATAGTCGACTAGTTAATGGAAGCTTTCCTATCGTGCCGTATACGTTCCTTCCACCTTGTGCACCTGCGCCACTGAATTTGATGCTTCTTAATATAGTTCTTGTTTTGTTTCGGAAAAGGCTAATAATGCTTTTGTTCCAGCGATCGTGTCTTCCTCTTCGCGACCACTCCCTGGAACTCGCCTCTTCGCTTCTATTAGCAACTTACCAATACCTAGTATTCCAAGTGGCTCGTAGAACAAAACCCCTCCAGATATTCACGTGCAGAGTTAAACAGACACAAAGCCAGATCCCTAATCATATTGGAAATATGGTTTTTATTTAATTTTTGTATTGTCTTTATAACTGGCTTAATCTGATGTCGCGGTCTGAAACATCGATTGTTCACGTCCAATATTTTATAGAAACGGGAATAGTAATTCTCCTGTAATGCAGGGTGTCTTGCGCAAAATTCAGGGAAAAATTAGATATTCGTGTGTCCTAACACTAACACTAATATCCTCGAAATTTAGCGCCTGTCCAAGAAAAGTGGGAAAGGGTTATCGTGAGTCTTTCTCTTAGGAATTCATATCTACAAACCTAATTGTTACTGACAAATGGCTAAAGGGATTAGCGACCTACGGATTTTTGGCGTATTTTTAGCATAACAGTGTCTAGGAGGTACTGAACTAGATTTGTCCTTTCCCTCGGCACCATGAATTTCCAACACCCTTGGGCTACGGACGATGTGTGACTGTTCACTTGACGAGAAACACTGAACGTTCGCACTGACCCTCTGCGTCCTCCAAGCTAACTCATGCTGTCAACCAATCGGACCGCCGTTTAAGACCAGAAAAGCACTCACGCGGAATGAGGAAAATGTGCACCAGGAGACTGCTGAAGTGGATTCTGACATTAATATTTGTTGAATAACTGATGTGGTGTGCATTCCGAGGTGATATAATGAAAAGGAGAAGGCCCTTCGGAAAATCTAGTTGTACTCGTGAATTTCCAAGTTGGTGACACCGACCCGTCTTCAGACGAAATGACGACGGGTGGGTGTCACCGACTTGAAAATTCACGAGTACAACTCGATTTTCCGAAGGGCCTTCTCCTTTTCATTAATATTTGTCTCTAGATTTGGTTTCCAGACGTTACGGTAGGATGGGCGGGTAACTTAACCCAAATGTGATTAAACTCGCGTCGTCCGGCGAGGTCTCGTAGCTCAAGTGGTTAGAGCGTTGGCTGTACTAAACCTTCCTCCTTACTGTCGTTGTTTCGAATCCTAACGAGGCGCCGAGTTTTTCACAGTTGGTCTAATATGAATTATTATTTGTATCTTTGCCAGGAAATATCATTCCAACAATAATTTTGTCCGAGCCTGTCAATCATCCAAGGGCTGGGATTGGACGCAGTGGCTGACGTAGTCTAGGCATGTCACTACAATCCCAAAAGTATGACAGTTTTAATGAGCACACGCTGACTCTGCGCAGCCAGAGTAACGCATGTCGACTGGAGGTCTGACTCTCATTTTCGTCCAGCATATGTAAATCGTGGTCCGCAGTCTACGCTTGCCACCCGCGATCCCATCTTCCGAATGTACCAAGTTTTCACAGGGACAGATCAAATCTCACATCTATCAGAGAGCCATAGAGGTCACCTAAAAAGGAGCCACTGAGTTTGAGACTCAGGCCTGAGAGAAGCGAGTGAGCCCCTCAATTGGCAGCCTTCCATGTCCCAACTTTCGACCAGTCGTGAAACACTCAAGCACGCCAGATTTATAAGAGCGAGGAATGAGCCGATTGTCGTGAGGCCGGATTCCGCATTGTCGGCCTCACTCTCTCTTCCCTCCACCGTGCATCAGTCCGCTGTCTCAGCGAGTCAGCCATCCGATGTTGGGATTGGGCACAAGGGGCTGGCGTGGCATGAAGCCTGCGCCGAAGCCGTTCACCGAACTCATTCCCACATGTGTGGCAGTAGTTATGGATTTGCACGGAACCTCTGCGGTCAGCTTAACTTATGCCGTCAGCCAATCGGTGCACCGCTTAGGACAAGTGCATCTATACTGTGGCCCGTTGTGAAGGCCGCGCATTTAAATACACACTTATACGAACGGTAGAAAACGTGCATATCAAGGTTGGATCCAGAGACAGTATATACCTTACAGATATGGACACAGTACAGAATTCACGTAACTTCGAGATTTCGTTCAAGAAATTTCCATGGAAAAGCGAGTTGTTTTACTATTAATAACACTAGCCAGTCGCCACTTAAACACGTTCATCTTATCTACAGTCACCACTTCGCTTGGCAGTGAGTCCTACTGTCGGACTACCCGTTGGCTAAAGACATGTTTTCCTTGATCTAGCCGAGCCTTCTCATTAGTAAATAACAACAGAAGTGGTTTGTGCCTGCAAGCACAGAGGAATTCTGAGGTTATAGTATGAATGCATGCACGCGGGGAGTGGTAATTGTTCAAAGCGGGATGCATCCTAACTGTCCGTGACAGAGGAGAAATGTACAAAGCTCAATAAATCTATCGGAT